GATGCCAGGACCAATTTTGAAGAAAATAATCAAATGTCACTAAGTGTAGATTTAGTCATTCAGTCATTAACTTGTGGGCCACAGAAAGTGACCAGCCCTGCCTAAGATCAGAATCTTTTCTAGGGATACTGATATCATATGTATGTACACAGAGACCCAAATAAACCTACTTGAAATTTCCTCAAGGAGGTACTGCAGAGAATTTTTAAAGAAGAGAGGTAAATAGTGAATGTAAAATTTTTCTAAAGATACTTTGGGTTACTAAGTAAGATTTAGGATGTAAGTCTATTAGTGGGAGTGCATATTTCATATGATATAACAAAATCAGTATTCCACATTTGTAGTTCAAAGAGATGTAAATATATACTTAAAATGCTAAAGGACATTTAAGAATAAGAAAACTTTGGCACAAGATTCTCCTTCAGAACTTGACAGAACACCCACATGGGGTGGGGGTGTGTGTGTGTGTGTTTTTTTCAAATTAACCAGGACTAAGGGTTTTACTTGTATAGATGAAAATCTATTGGCAATGAACATTAGAACGCAGGAAAAGAGAAGTGCAGTAAAAGAAAAAATGTAAGGAATAGGACAGAGTAGAAAGTTAAGAAATATTTATGCTTTCATAAAAATTATTTATTTCATAAATTCATTATTTATTTATGAAATCACTTTCTGTGGCCCACAGGTCTAGGACTCCTAACTTTTGAGCTTTGCACAAAATGGTGTAAAGCAGGAGTTGGTAAGTTTTAGCCCATGGGTCAAATAAGGTCTCCCCTTATTTTGTAAATAAAGTTTTATTTACTGTTTTTGTAAATGAAGTTTTATTGGACCATAGCCTCATTCATTCATTTACATATCGTCTATACCAGTGGTTCTCTACCTGTGGGTCGAGACCCACAGGAACTGTATTAAAGGCTTGAGGAATTAGGAAGGTTGAGAACCACTGGTCTATACTGTTTTTATGAAACGACAGCATAGTTAAGTAGTTGTCATAGGGAATATATAACCCACAAATCAAAAGATTTCTCTTTGGCTCTTGATAGAAAAAGTTTGCCAATTTCTGTTCTATTCAAATGCTTCTCAAACTTTAAGGTGCACACAAATCACCTGGGGGGTCTTATTTTGATTTAGCGAGTTTGGAATGGAGCCTAAGATACTATCTACATTTCTAACAAGTTCCCAGATGATGCTGATGCTTCTGTCTGCAGGCTCCTTCAGAGAAGCAACAATTCTCAATGGCTGAGACTGCTGAACAACTGACTTGGGAAGTATAGCAGCACCAACCTTGTGCTATTTTTAATACTCTAAAAAGTTCACTGCTAATGGTTTTGAAAAATGAAGCTTTCTTTTATTGAAACTTAAAAGGCTATCTCCTTTTTCAGGTCAAGTACAGGAACTCCTCACTTATCCAATGATCACACCTGCAACCTTATTTATCTGGAGTATAGATCCCAATTAAGAAATAAGAAGGGTATTGCTGCATTACAGAACAATAAAATAAGATTCATAATAAGGCTCATAAAAAGAAACAAACATCAATAAAAAGTTATGTTCTATCGCTATTTCTAAAGCAGAGAAACAGATAACCTTTTTTCAAAACCACCATTTCAGTAAACAAACATTAAAATAAATTTTGACACTTGAACATGTCAGTTTTGTAATCAAGAAAGCTAATTGTTTATAATATAGCACGTGATGTCAGGGGGCCTCCTGGATTCATCAACAATCAACTGACAAAACCTGGTTATTTCCTTACCTTGTGACAACAATCCTGGGAGGGAGAGTCTTCGACTGCCACCCTCTGATTCTTCTTCTCTGATATCCACAAGACTTGAACTTTTCTTTCCTTGCATCGATTCCTGCTTAACCTGTTCTTCTCTGCTATCTTTCAAGCCTTCGGGGCCTATGGCACTACTGCCGGCCTGAGCTCCAGTTTCACAAGGGGGCGTACTATAAAAGTTCATAACCTTCTTCAGTGACAAGGCACCAGCTTCATACGTAGCGGCCACTCTCACACCAACAGCAGATGCACAAGACACCACCAGGCTGTTTAGAGCTGAGGTGCTGGTGGTTGATGGACTGTGAAGATGAGGAATTGCTTCTTCCACAAGAGGCTAAAATATACACACATTAAAAAGTATATAATATAATAAATATAACCCCTTCGGTAATCAAAACGAGAAAATTTCACACCCATCACTACCTGCCTGCAAGAATCTAAAACAGCAGGCAAAGGTCTCTCCATTTTTAACTTAAGGTGTTCCCTCCTGATTGTGAAGTTACCACATTATATGGGAATGTGTACTCAAAATAGAGTTCCTTATAGTTTCCTTTCCAAAGGAAAGCACTTCCTTTTGTCTGGGTGTTGTATTTTTTTCCATGGTATTTAAAAATAAGCCCCAGCTGCTTTTACATTATTATGCATGGTATAGGGGGAGGGGGAGGAAAAGGAATAGAAAACACTGTCTTTAATACAAGGTGCGTGGTGACAGTCCTAAATAGAAGGTTGACAAAAAATACAGAGTTTAATTTTTGATCACTTTTAGAAAAATGTACACAGATTGCCATGAAGAAACAGCAGGAAAAATTATATTTTATGGAAAAAAAGATTTTCCCTGAAATTTTTCATAAATGGAAATTTAGTTATAGCATATACACAGGAAAATAAGTTATGCCTCGACACTATCATTCCCCAAATTATGTTCTTAAGTTCAAATGCTTTTACTGCCTCATCAGTGAGTTATTTTCCATGAGCCAGGGGCCAGACCAGCTGCAGAATTACCTTTGCTCTTGCTACCACAGAGGGTAAATGTGGCAGGTTAATAATTAAACATTTGGAACCAAGGTACTTAGTGTGATTCATAGGTGCATTAGAAAGTCAAACTGAAGTTTTCTAATCTTAGTGAAAAATCCATTGAAATTTAATCTGTCAAACACCATTGTTTACCAAAAAGGAAAATCATCAAATATACCTACCAAACACACAAAAAGCTCCTGGCTTATCAGCATAGGTTACACAGGAAAATTTGCTTCTTATTCTACTCAAAGATCCCAAATGGTATATATATACATATATACATATATTCCATTCCTTAGTTTGTCCTGAATCAAAAACCAAACCAATATATGTTTTTTTAACATTGGCTTCAGATTTTCTTAACGGACATAATTCCTGCTGCATAGCACAGTGCTGACACGTAGCAGGTACTCAATATACTTTATTGAATTAAATGGTAAATTTATAAGCTATTTCTGTAGAAATGAGTAGTCTGTAATTAAAATAGTAGACAAAATAAACAAATATACCATGTAAAAACAAAAGATAAATAGAAAGCCTATTATTTCTTTGGCAATACAGTTGTCATGATATCTGATTCAGAAGAACCAAGAGTTACTATTTCCATCCTTTGTTTACCAAGGCTCATAACAGAAGTGGAGATAGTTTTAGGAGTGACTATTTTAGACAGTCCTTATCCCCAAGTCATAAAACTCTATCTTACATATTTTAAAACTATCGTTCTACCTGGCTGCCTCTGCCTATCTGTATTTAAAAATATAAGTTAACAAATAAACCTTCCCCTCCAAATAAAAACAAAGTACATGACCAGTATTTTTGATAGAAGGCAATTTGAGAAGTCCCAATCAACCAATAATGTTTTGGCTTACTTCCCAAAAGTAAGAGACTCACTTATATCTGGCCAGGAAAGAAAAATTTGCCCTAAACACATAAATTCCTCAGTAATTAGCTGTATGACTGAGACATTATTTACACAAAATAAATTAAATTTAATAGGAATACACATTGTCAAGGCTAGCGTAAGTAACAAAAACTTCAAATGCTTAACAGAGTAAGTCCAAAGGAAATTCAATTTCAAAATGATGGTAATCTAAAAGTCTAATAAACTATACATAACAACTTTTAACTTCAAATTTAGTAAGTTAGAGTGACTTTTGAAAAGCATGACAGTATAAGAATTTTCTAAATGCACTCTTGTTAA